CCCTCTGGTGGCTGGGGTGTCCCTAGCCTTGCTGTCCTCCTCTGTGGGCTGCCAAGCAAAGGAAAAGAGTTGGGTCTGAGAGAGACAGGACAAAGGACCCAACCCTGGCCCTGACCCAAAGGGCTGCAGGACACCTGTGGTCAAGCATAGCCCAGCAGGACACAGAGCTCCAGCCCTGACTCACTTGCTCTAGGCATGGCCAATGACTGCAGGTGCCTGCCAGGCTTGTGTGCATGGCTGTAGTTGGTGGCATCCTCCTCCTCTTCCTCTCTTAGCCCCAGCTGCCCCTTCACTCATCTCATCCCTGGTCACTGCTTGTTGCCCATGCCCAGGGATGTCCCAAGCACTCCCCTTCCTGTGCTCAGTGAGCTGAACCAGAGGGCTTTGTGCTCTGCTTAGTTACCCACCTTCTAATTGAGCAAGTCAGGAATGGCAAGTTGCACTAATGAAACCTGCAGCATCACTTGCTCAGGGCTGGCAGCTGGCTGGGGCTTCAAGTCCAAGCCTCACTGTCCAACCCACCTCCTGCCAAAAACCCCAAGTCTCCTGGCTGGGGCTACCACCATGGGGACCCACGGGTCCCCAGAAACTGCTTCGGGCTTGGGACTGATGGGGACACTAGGCCAGCACCAAGGCAGGATGCCCTGGCACTGGATGGGGTTTGCCACCACTCACCTCCTCTTTCAGGCTTGCCTTGGTTTCCTTCTTCTTCTTGGCCACCTTGGCTTCCTTCTCAGTCTCCCGCACAAGCTGCTTGATGAACCCCCCGGGAATGACAGACAGGAGCAAGGGGGGGGCAGACGGGGGTGGCCCCCTGTCCTCGTCCCGTATCTGTTTGCAGGAGCAGAGGGTGGGTTAGGGGGCCCAGCAGAGTCAGGGGCACAAACAGGGCAGCATCAGCACCCGGCTCTGCTGGCACGGGCCACGGGCATCTTCTGCAGGTAGCCAGCAAGGCCACAGGCCACCCGTGAGCACCAGGCTGGTTTGGGGGTGCTGTGATGAGCAGGAGAAGCACCAAGAAAATAAGCCCTGCAGAGAAGCACCCAGTTTCCTGCGTGTCGCCAAGACACAGAGCCCCAGTGCCCAGCAGCTCTGGCACAGCCACGGCACAAACCATCCCAGCTGCAGCCAGTCAGGAAGCAGCTCCTGGCACCACTTCAGCCCCACGCAGACCCGTGGGTCCCTCCGTGCAGGCCCCAAGCAGAAACCTGGCCCCTCCACCTGCAGCTCCCACAGCAAAGGGCTTCCCCAGCCCTGTCACCAGGCAGCAGCCCCAGCACCCAGCCCGGCAGGCCCCCTCAAGGCTCGGCCCCGCAGGCAAGGCAACCGTGTGCCCCAAACAGCAGCAAAATCACCCAAACCAGAACATTCCAGCTGGCAGGGGTGCCAGGAGCTGGCAGAGGTGCCCGGAGCAGGAGCAGCGTGTGCAGGGCGGGGAGGGGACACCGGCCCCGCGGCGTGTGGCGGGGGGGGCTGCCTTTTTTGTCCCCCTGCCCTGCCCCAGCCCCCCGGCAGCCCCCCAGCACCCATCCAGCCCCTGCAGCACCACGGGTGCCAGCCCGGACCGACACTTCCCTTCTGCTCCCAGAGCGCGAGGCGCGAGGAGATGGCCATGGCGAGGAGGGACCGTCTGTGCCCGGAGCCGCGGGGCTGCGCCGGCACACGGGGCGGAGAGAGAGGACAGAGTTAGCCAGGGGCACCCTGACCTTGCCCCCCTTCCCGGGCTCCCGGCA